GGTTGGCGTAGGATAGAGCAGGGTTTAGGGCTGTTGTGTATAGGGTCGCTATGAGTCAGAAACGACTCAACGGCACATAACAACAACAACAACAACATTTGCATTTGCTTTGTGTTTTGCAGGTCTATCATTTTTGAATAGATATTAATTATGGTGATGTCCTCTTGGGTTTTGTGGGTTTTTGTGGTGTTTTTTTTTCTTTAAGCATTATATAGTTCCCTTTTTTATCCTTTTTGATAATTTTTACACTGACCTCTATTTTATCAGAGATTAAATATATGGGACACTTTACAAATTCGTATGTCATCCTTTAGCAGGGGCCATGCTAATCTTCTCTGTATAGTTCCCATTTTATTATATGTGCTGCTGAAGTGAGCACGTGATACAGGGTATGTGCCCCCCCCCTTTTCTTTTAAGAATCTGTATTTGAAGGTTCTATTTTTGCCATCTGAGAAGCCTTGCCGATTTATCCAACCACTAACCTAAAGGTTGGCAGTTCAAACCTACTAGGTGAGGTTCAGGAGAAAGAGGTAGCAGTCTCTTGTTACAGTGTCTCGGAAATCCAATGGGGCTATAAGATCCCTATGAACTGGGATTCAACAATGGCCTTGAGCATGGCTGAGATTGTGAGGATGGCACAGAAGAGGACAAGGCTCCAGTCTCTTGTTCATAAAGCTGCCATCAGACATAGCCATCTAAAGAACACCTAACAACAACATGAGCTGGAATCAACCTAATAGCAATGGGGTTTCTGTTATCTATCATTCTTGTCTCATTATTTATTTCTCCAAAGTCTAGTTATCTCTATGTACTAAGCATTATTAATAAAACTTATTTGAAGAATCCTAAAATGTAAATGCCCTTCTACACATGAGATTTGTTTTTTATTTTAGAAAAACAATGGTATATTCATACAATGGAATACTATATGGCACTGAAAAACAAGGAATTAATAAAATATTACACAACACGCGTGACTCTGGAGGACATATACTGAGTGAAATATCTTAGTCATGAAATGACTGCATAACACCACCATTATAAAACAAGACTGACATGGGGGTGAGGGGAAACTAAGAAGATGTGATAGATAATTAACATTGCATTGGAATAGGTGAAGGAAGAATTGTTTAAAAGAAATATAATTAGGCATTATTTGTATGAAAATAATTCAGAATATGAAGTG